GTGTGTGTGTGTGTGTGTGTGTGTGTGTGTGTGTGTGTGTTACCTGAGGGGACATGCTCTCCGTTCACTTTAAGAGGAGTCAGGACAACACGAGGCATCATAACTGCTTTCTTTCTCTGTCTCCCAGACTGTACAAATAAAAATTGAACACATGATAGATGAATACAGGCCACTCTATTGGTTCAGCAGACTATATTTGATTACATCATTTTCACAAAACAATGATAAAAAAAATGATGGACAAAATCGGGGATAAAATTTATTGCTGCTTCACTTTATTTTCAAAAATTTCTAAGCATATTTTCTGTTTTTATTTTATTTATATTAAGCTGACAAAACAATTGAAAAAATAAATGCATAAACCTTTTTTTGAGCTGTGTGTACAGTGAAAATTATWGTTTTGTTTTGTCCATTGGGGTTGTGAGGAGTGATTGTAGACAGTAACTCATTTCTGCAGTAGACAGTAGGGATGGCTGTCATTTTTAAATAACTGATGTCTCAAAGAAAAGTCATTAAAAAAACAACTGTGCACTGATCCCGCTTCTATTCCGCATCTACAACCATGACTGCACCCCCTCTCACACTACTCTGGTGGGACCTATGAAGACAAGGCATACAGGGACTGTATGCTGCATGACATAGTAAACATCACTCATTGACATTTTATGCTTTTTTTTCCCCCAAAATACCAGAGCATTTTATCATTAAAGGGGCAATATTATGTGTTTCTCAGGCATATATTTAAATTYTATACAATAATAAAAGTAACTGTGTCACCTTCAGTTATTAAAATGCTGTTTATATGTTTAAATAGAAATTAAACTTGACTTCTTCTAGCAGTGTTAGGATTCATAAACCTTGTGTTATGTAATTCAGAGGAAAATTTGGTAGTCCCCACAGATTTTACCTCTTTACTTTTCCAGCTGCAGCTCTTGTTTGTTTGTTTTTTTAAATCCCTGTATTGTCTGTGCTTCTGRAGAACGAGTGATGGGTAGTCGTGGTTCACTTTGATTTGGTTTTCTTACCAGAACAAAAAGGTGTAAAAAGTGTTTTAARTGAATATAAAAAGCGTGACATAAAAAGCGTGTTTTAGTGTTAGGTGCTGACCTGTCTCGAACGGCTCAGTCTGGTCTGGGTGTGTTGGGTTTGCTGTGGATCTGAACGTCCCTGCTGTCCTGCTGCTCTGCTCAGACGGGTCTGAGGCTGGGAGATGGGAGGCTGAGGCTCCATGGAGCAGGAGGCATTTGATGAACTCTCATCCACTGATCCAACGAAACCAGGGGGAAAAACAATATACAGTTAAAAATATTTTATTGGTGACATTTTTTGTGAATTTTTACAATTTACAGCTTATTTGAGCTAAATAATTACATTTATCTACAAGGGCTGACACTTCTAAGTTGGCCTGGGAACACCTTGGGACTAAAAGTAGCTGAGAATTAGATCTGCCTTTTTCAGAAGGCTGAAACAAATCTGAAAAAGTAACCAGTTCAGATAGAATATCTGCCCTAGTACTCAGTGGCAAACAGGTATACACTTCCATCTTCAGGCAGATCTGTTTAAACGTTAAAGTATTTTGGTCATCTTCTAAAATCAAAATTGCATTGTCCAGTAATTGTTGAATAGAAAAATAATTGTCATCACAAGCTCACTTTAAAAATTAAAGAACTTTGTACAAATTTCTTGAATGTACTAAAACATATTTCTTTTATAAGTTATTTGTCAAAATGAGTTATTCACACAAGTTTTACATGTTGGCAAATTAAATGGGTTAAAAAACTCAGGAAATAAGACATATCTACAATACCTTTATTATAAAAGTTCATAATGCCTTTATGAGTGACTGTACTTATTTTTATAAATGTCCATCACTATGAAACACTATGTGTAAGGAATCTATATCAAAACAGACAACTGTAAAAAAAAAATCATGACGTTTGATATAT